GAGAGAGAGAGAGAGAGAGAGAGAGAGAGAGAGAGAGAGAGTTGAAAGTAGGAGAAAGACTATATGGAGAGAAATAGGGGTGATCAGGAATGGGAAAGGGTTAAGGGATCACAACAGGAGGAGATGGACATGAACACTGTACCTTATACATGTATAAAACTGACAAAATTAAAAATACAGATGCACTTCGTAAATGTGTCATGGCTTATAAAGTCTCTCAGTAGTAGTGTTAACATGTACACATATGCACAAATACGCACATGTGCAAATTCTCTCTCTCTATGTATATGTATGTGTATACATCTATATACACATACACACATACAAACACAAATTTATGCCTATGCTTACAACATGGGCAAATTCTCTCCATATATATATATATATATATATATGCACACATACACAAACACAAGTCTATGCCTATGCTTACAACATGGTCAAATTCTCTCTATGTATTTGTATGTAATTATATGTACACACACACAAACTTGAATTTATGTCTATGCTTACAACATCATTGGCTAGGCTTCCAGCTCAGTGTAACACCACAGGATGAATCCTAGTATTCATCTCTTTGCATTCCTATAACGTACTTCTCCTGCAGTGACAAACCAGGGTTCCATTCTCAGTATAATTATGAATTTGCCTATGCTTAAATACATGGAAAGCAACCTCAGCACTGCCTGGCTCTATTCCTGTGACAATCAAACTTCCTTGTGGGAGTTTATTGTGTTTACAGGTTCACCTAGATTTTAAGTCTACAGCTTGATGTCATCAGGTGGATAAACCAGTGCCCTGCAGTCCCTGCCGGTGGATTTCAACAGTGAAACTCTTTAGTGAAAAATATTTGAGAAAAAATATTGAGAAAAATAGCAAGACGTTTCCTTGCTACCCCTTGCGGTGATTTCCTCCCCCAGTTCGTACTACAAGGCAGCCACTTTTATGATGGTTTTAAACCACTTTATTTTAGTGTTGCCCACTCTAGAACTTGACATTCAGATCAAGAGGATCCTTGGAGCTTTACGTTTTAACTTTTATTGCTAAGACTATAGTCTGTCAAATTGCTTTTTGTGAACGGTGAGCTAGAACTGAAGGTCATTTTTTCTCCTGTGTGTATTGTCAAATTGTTTCAGTAGGTTTGTTGAAATGTTTTCCTGTTTTGGTCTCATTTTGAAGCTTTGGCACTTACCTTGGAGACTGTAAGTGTGCTTCTGACATGTTTCCTATTGATAGTGCCCTATCTCTATGCTACTATCATAGTGTTGATAACTGCAGCATTATAGTAAGATGAACTAGTGTGAATTGTACAACTTAAAAAATGCTTGTTTATATTACTGGTTTTGTTAATTTCCAACACAAATATAGAATTATTTCACCAATATCAATAAAGTACCTGCAAGATATTATAACTGGAATTGTTATGAATCAATATATATGTTTTAGGAAAACTGACATTAAACACTATTGAATTTCTATGTATGTATGTATGTATGTATGTATGTATGTATGTATGTACATATGTATGTATGGTATTTATGTGTATCCATGTGAACACGTGCATATGCATGTTTATGTGTTTGTGTGAAGGCCAGAAGTTGACTCCAGAAGACCCTCTATCTCCCTCTAATTAGTTTTTGAGACTGGTCTCTCATTGAACTTGGAGCTTATGGGTTAGCTAGTTTGGCTGGCTTGTGAACTCTGCATATCTGCCTGTCTCTGCCTGCCCAGTACCAGGATTACAGGGTTACAGCTTTCATATGGGTGATGGTGATCTAAACACAGGTTTTCATGCTTTTGCAGCAGGCACTTTACCAAGGGAGTCATCTCTTCAGCGTCTATTATCGGGCATCTTCAGACACAGATATAAACACATACCTGATCAGATATGTGATTTTATCTCATCTGTATTTATTAGTTTTTAATGTAGAGGTCTTAGACATCTTTGCTAATGTATTTCTAAACATTTTATGCTTGATACAATTGATTAAATTGGTTTAAAGTGGAAATCATTTGTTGCTGGTATAGGAATGTTACCTATTACATGTTTTAATACTGGATTTTAAATTTTAAATCAGTGGCTTATTTGTAGCTGTATTGATTTTTTTGTTTTTGTTGTTTTTTGTTTTTGAGACAGGGAGGGTTTCTCTGGCTGTTCTGGAACTCGCTTTGTAGACCGAGTTGGCCTTGAATTCACAAACTGCCTCTGCCTTTGCCTCCCTAGTGCTGGGATTAAAGGTGTCAACATCACACCTTTAATCAGCTGTATAGATTTTAGACATATGTATTGATTTGCAGGTTGTTTAACTCAATATATTTTATACAGATGGTTTGGAACAGTCTAGCCTAATTTCAGAGGCTAGTGTTTTCATATTCGTGTAAACTAACTACTTACATCATTCCTGCTGGGTGGCTCAGATCGTTCATACCATCTTACTTTTAACAATCTGAATTTTTTGTTTTCTTTTCAAGATTTCCTTTTTATCTTTGTCTTTACATTGCTTAATTATGACATACTGAGTGTGGTTTTCTTTGAATTTGTCCTTCCAGGGATTTGTTGAACTTGTTGGAGCAGACTCAGAGTCAGCTGGCAAAACAGGCAAATTTACTGTGTGAGAAAAGATCCCAGACCAGATAACCACAAGTGACCAAGAGCATAGCATGTGGCTGAGGCTGCAGGTTCTTCCTCATCACATCTTCTTGGCATAGGGGACATACTTCCAGTGAGACAGCCATTTATGACCTTCCAGAAAGAGCCAGGCAAATGGAAAATGTGGTCATGCCATGTAGTGAGTATTGCTGAATTAACCCCCTTCTCTGCTTTCCAATACTCTAGCTTAAAAGACTCCGCCAGACCAGTGCCATAAGGGTGGATAGCAGCGAAGCTCCCTTTTTAGTGGCTGGATGGTCCGGAACAGGTGTTCTTCTAACGGTACCTGAAGACTGACTCCCACTCAAATCTGCTCTCCACAAGTCTCAGTCACCAAGAACTACAGCACATCATGTATGAGTTCCTTGGAGATGGTAGCTTTCTTCCACTGCAGGGGTAGTTTTTAGGCTAGAGTCAGCCTTTTGGGTTGTAATAATACAGAAGGAAATAATAATAATAATAATAATAATAATAATAATAAATAATAATAATAATTTCCTTCTAATAATACAGAAGGAAAAGACACCCTGAAAAAGGAGGTAATACACTTTCATAACGAAGGATATTTAATTTTAATATTCTTATTTCTTTCTACATGTTGATAAAGAGGGATGTATCAGTCACAAAACTGCTAACAGATATAATGAGTTTTATATAGGTAACCAAGTCGCTGTTACCGCTAGATCTGTAGTCTACATCATGTTCTTAATAGAGCTTAGTGCTTTTAGGGCAGAAAGTCTGGTTGAGAATAATAGGCTTACTAAGTAGGTAAAATATATTTCCTTTGTACAAGGCTGATTCCTAAGAAGGTAGAATTTAAGTTGTTGCATTAAATTTTTAATTAAAATGTAATTGCTGCCGGGCAGCGGTGGCACATGCCTTTAATTCCAGTACTCGAGATGCAGAGGCAGGCAGATCTCTGTGAGTTCGAGGCCAGCCTGGTCTCCAAAACGAGTGCCAGTGCCAGGATAGGCTCCAAAGCTACACAGAGAAACCTTATCTCGAAAAACCAAAAAAAAAAAAAAAAAAAAAAAAAGGTAATTACTTCATCCCTCCCACCCCTCTGCCCTGTCCCTCCCATGTCCCTGTGACCTACTCCTTCCCAAATCCTCAGCCTCCTCTTCTTTAGTCATTGTTGTTACATATACAGATAAATGAATAAATATATAAATGCCATCTTCTGAGTCTGTTCAATGTTGCCCCATGTGTATGTGTTTAGTTAGGGATGACCACTTGGGTCTTGGACAAACAATTAGGGGATTCATCTATGGGGCAATGAATTCTGTGTCCCTCTCAGCAGTTGTTAATTGCCTGTGCCTCTTCACATGGGGGTGGGACCCCATGATATTTCTTTCATCTACATTGGGATGTCAACTGTTGTTGGAATTGTTCAGGTCTTATTTAGACAGTTATGTTGTTGTTGTTGAGATTTCATAGGTGTGGCTTCCGTGTCATAGTTAGAAGGCACAATCTCACAGCAGACTTCCTGGTCCTCTGGCTCTTACAATCTTTCCACTCTCTCTTCTGCTGTGTTTCCTGAACTGTAGGGTACAGGAGTTGTGTTATAGACATATCAGCTGGGATTCACATCCCGCAGTTGATTTCTGTGTTTTGAGTAGTTGTGGATTTCTGTAATGTTCTCCTGATGCTACTTCAAAAAATTCTTTTTTGATTAGGAGTTGGAGCTACACTCATTTATGGGTAGCATTTTTATTCAACTCAAGCTTAGTTCGATGTTGACACTAGTGACAAGTATAGTTGTGTAGAGAAGGGCATACAGAGAACCTAATTCATGTAGTGAATTTTAATTGGTCAAATTTGCCAAAAGGTATTGTTTTTGTGATCTGCTTTTACTCTGGCCAGTGTTCCGGTTTTGAAGTGTTGATCTGGCTTTGGCGATTTCAGTGATAAGAATTCAGAACCCTAAAAACCCCTCCCCACAGTTCTTTAACTGCAGTCATCTGTTGGTACATGGTCGAGACAATCCACAATGAAACCTTTGTTCTTTGGGATTAGTACACATACATCAGGCAAAAGCTTGTTCAGGCAATCGTGTATTCCAAAGGTCTCAAGGGGGAGACAGGCTGTCTGTATCGTAATATGACTCATCTAAGGGTTAAATTCCTTGGTCCCTTTGAGGATCATGTGGTTAAACATACACTGGAGACTGTATTTTTCTTTCTTCATCTCCTCTTCCTCCAACAGCCTCAAGGGCTTGTTAAATTTTTCCTCCAATGTCTTGGCTAACTTCTTCTTCGTTGTTCCATTCCTGTCATTGCCATTGCCTTTCTCCACGTCCTACTTCACTGCGCTGGGAGACAGTGGGAGAATTTCAGTTAAAAATCTTCATGTGAGAGTTTTGGCTGACTAAACAAAGAGTGCACGGTCTGGTGGGGAAGACACACATTTGGAGATGACAGTGCTGTGACCAGGGAGCTCACACAGTGCTGCAGACCACATGGAGGGAGGCCACACTGGGAATGCTCAAGCATGTTTTCTACATTGGAAGACATATTTAAAATCTCAGTAGCCCAAACTGAAAGGTAAGGGTGAACTAAATTGCAGAGTTTGAATGACATTGTAAGGGCTTTGGTCTTCAATCTGAGTTATGGGGAGCTGTGGGAGTTTTAAAGTGGCATTAAAGGTTTGTGTCTTTGACAGCTTTGTTAGTGACAGTATAGAGGATGAGGTGTGGGCTGAAAATCAGGCAAGACACGACTGAAGCAGAACAGATGAGAAATTCTATGGGCCTGAAATTAGGAGTAATGACTATGTGTAAGAGGAGGCACAACCAAGAGACATTTTAGGATTCAGACTCCACTGAGAGGAAGGTGAGTAGTAGATAAAATAGGATGCAGAGGAGGTCAAAAAATATTGGTCAGGGCCAGATGTGAGACAGAGCAGTGTCTGAGTCAACCCCAAGAGCCCCTAAGTCCCTCACTTTCAATGCCCAATGTGAATGGGGCACCCATAGTGAGGTGGGCAGAAGATTAGGAAGTAGGGAATAAAGATTATGGCAGGTTTTCCTTTCCAGGGACTGAGGGCCACATGGGTATCACAATCAACTAGATACAGCTGTTAAGTTCTGAACAGAAGGAAGAATGAGACAACTAGGGAACAAGAGAGTGCCTAATACTATACTAGGTTAGAGTTCAGGAAAGAGAAAGAGGAGAAAGGCATTCCTCTTGAACAGAGAAGTTAACAGGCTGGGGAGACATGTGCCATGTAGGAAAGGAAGGTGAGGATGTTACCTGGGCAGCTGAGAATGAAGACAGAGCTTGACGCATAAAAGCTTCTGTGAGTGGATACAAGTGAGACATATCCTATGGAAGAAGGCTAGATTGGACAGGACTCCATAGCGGGCTGGGAAGTTGGTCAAGGGAGGCAATGCCCAGAGCCTGTTTCTAGCACACTCAGTGGACACTTGTGTAGTCCAAGTACTTTTTTTTGGGGGTGGGTGGGTTTCGAGACAGGGTTTCTCTGTGTAGCTTTGGAGCCTATCCTGGCACTCGCTCTGGAGACCAGGCTGGCCTCGAACTCACAGAGATCCACCTGCCTCTGCCTCCCGAGTGCTGGGATTAAAGGCATGAGGCACCAAAGCCCGGCAGTCCAAGTTCTTTTTCATGATCCTCCTGCCCCACATGGTTAAGGAGAGGAGAAGAGTTTGGACTCATGTGAAAAGGTTGGCAGTAAATGCCTTCCACTTATTACTCTGGAGTGTGGAACATCTCTCAGCCATTAGCATTATGGATTGTATTACTTGGGACTCTGAATTTTCCAACTCTGAAGCAAACCTCCATGGAGAATGGAGTGAAAAGTGAGGGAGAGAGGGCAGTGTGGAGAGAGAAGGGTCCAGCTCACCTTGGTGTAGGTAGAGATGAGCAGATCCACTTAGTAGGGTAGGTCGTCTGCACTCAGGCACAAGTGGGGAGAGTGGGGACATACCTCAGGTGCAGGATAAAGTCATATTGGTAAATCAGGAAACCCATTTCTTTCTAATGTGGGAGCACTGTAGGCTTCTGGGCAGTAGGTGGTTAAAGTGCATTTGTGGGAAGATTATTCTGGCTGAGTGAAGGGCATTGAGTCTGATTATATTTACATTTCCAATTTCTGGATTCTTATGAAGCGAACAGAAGCTTTCGAATACTTTTCACGATAAGCATCCTCATTGGATACCCACAAGTCCCTTGATTTTTGGTGGTCTGGAGTTTGGAGTAACTGTAGGCACAAGCTAGGGAAACATGGCCCACAGCCTGAGTGAGTAACTAAACTCAGCCGGCGGTTTATCATTCCTGCTCCGTGTGCAGTGGCTTTTCCTGAGTGCTTTTTATCTATGTTTGCTTCAACTGCAGGGGACAATCTGTTCAGTCACCAGAATGGATACCTTCAAAGAGTTTTCTTGGCAAAATTCCATTCGCATGGTGATCTGTGACCTCACGTTACTGCTCCAGGGGCCCTGGTTTGGGACCTGATAGCTTAAGCTCTTGCCTGTCGAGGGAGCAGAGAGGCCATGTTTTGGAATGCCTCTCACTTCAGAACTGAAGAAACCTCCAGTTTCCTTGCTCAATGTTTTTCCAGATTATTTTCTTTTCGTTCTAAAATAATTTAGCCCATTGCCCTGGTTTTTGTCATGAACTCTTCAGGGACAGGCAGCTGAGTGTAATCTTTTCACAAACAAATCCAAAGTGGGAGGTTGGAGAGGAGCAGCGATGCACAAAGTGGGCTTTTCACTTGGCTGGCATAAAATCTGGAACTGTAAGAAGGAAAAAAAATGCAGGTTCAGACTTTCCTAAACTAACTCAAAGACTCGTTCCTACCAGTGACCATAATATTTATCTCATGCAAACTTTCACACATCTTAGTGTCATCTCAGACTCAAGACTGCTTAGTGTGGGCTCTGTATTCTCTCCTTTCATTTCTTGCCTCCCCCTTCTTCCTTTTTGTTTTCTTTCCTTCTTTCTTACTCTCTTGCCTCCCCTCCCCCACCATTGGCTGCAAACTCTTAGGCTCAAGCAATCCTCTTGCCTCAACCTCCCTAATAGCTAGAACTATAGGCATTTACCACCAAGCCCAACTTTTATTTATTTATTTATTTTTTATTTATTTCATTCTTGAAAGTGAGGCTCAGTGACCAACTCCTAAACCTTACAGAAGAGAAGTCCCACATCACAGTACTTTTTTCCTCCTGTGTAGCTCGACCAATTAGGGTGCAAATTCAAATACCCCAATTACTGTCTACATACCCTCCTCTAGCATTAAACCAGCCTTCAAAGATTCAGTCTGAGGAGTTATGAGGTGAGGGTGGGAGGGGCACGAAGGGATGGAGGCAGATGTTTCACTGCAACCTCAGAAAGGTAGGCTATGCACAGCCAGGGTCAGCCTGCAGAACAGGCTTCCCTGGCCAGAGACAAAGTCTCCCCCAGAGGGCTTCTGACTCTTGCCTCTGATAGGAAATGTTGATTCTGAACTCGTCGTTGTAAACTAGTTCCTATTTTATGCTGTCAGGACACTTTGGAAGCTCAGTGTACAACAGCCATGTGCAACACTTGATTTTAAACTCCACATGTGTGAAAGCTGGGTGTATGTTCTGTGTGCTGAGTAGCTGGCATAGTGAGGGGAACACTGCTCCATTGTTTCAGAATACTTGTTCATTGAATAAACAAAGAAACTAACAAGTGGATGGATGGATGGATGGATGGATGGATGGATGGATAAATGAGTGATGTTAGTACAGGGGAGAAACATCAGACATTAGACCTCCCAAGACTAAGTCAGGGAACAATTAACGGACACACTCTAGAATTTTCCTAAATTTTATTTGGGACACGGATCAGCAAGTGTGGCCATCTGGTGTCTATGCCACCATGGAACAGAAGTAAACTGGAGACAGGGAGGTGAGGTGCTGCTCCGGAAAGATAGAGAAGAAACCACTTCGATGTTGACCTAAGACCAGTGCAGAGTGTTGAGCACAGAGGCAACTCAGCCACTAACTGCACACACCTGGAGATCATCCCATTACACTAAACACAATACCTAAACTGGTAGTGAGAACCTCAGCATATGGAAATCTTATCAGTGTGAATTAGTTTATTCCCATACTGCACTGGACCACTGAGTATCAACCCTCTTCTGCATGTCAGTTTTATTTCTTCAGAGCCTTTCAGGAAACCCACTATTCTCTTTGACATAGCTTGCAGTTAGCACGTCTCATTCTGCTTCTATTTCACAAGACAAAGGGCCAGGTGTTCATCAGTGACAAACCAGTCTCTTTGAGAAGAATCCCCTCCCACGGAACACAAGGATCTTTCTGCATGCAGTATTGTAACATGAGAGGGAGGGGTGGAGAGGGATACTGTGGGCAAAGAGAGCAATGAAAGAAGAGACTTGAGAATGATAGGGATGTTGAGAAATGCAGTTTGTTTGTTTGTTTTTGCTTTTTTTTTTTTCAAGACAGGGTTTCTCTGTGTAATAGCTGTTCTGGAACTCACTCTGTAGATCAGGCTGGTCTTGAACTCACAGAGATCTGCCTGCATTTGCCTCACGAGTGCTGGGATTAAAGGCATGCGCCAATACTGCTTGGCTTGAGAAATGCAGTTCTTATTTTGTCATAGTGGAGAATTTCACAAGAGAGACAGAAATACATAACCTGGAAGATGTTGAGAGTTGTAGTCAGGCAATGAGAGGCAGGTGTTTGCCAGCAGGAGTGTGGGCCTTCCAATTCCTGTTTCATTGTCACAACACATTGATCATAGTCACTTCAGCTTTCTTTTTTTTTAGATTTTATTTATTTATTATGTATACAACATTCTGCTTCCATGTATATCTGCACACCAGAAGAGGGCACCAGATCTCATAACAGATGGTTGTGAGCCACCATGTGGTTGCTGGGAATTGAACTCAGGACCTCTGAAAGAGCAGTCAGTGCTCTTAATCTCTGAGCCATCTCTCCAGCCCCCTTTTTTCCTTTTTATGTTTGAATTAGAAAATTGTTTTACATGTTAATCCTAGTTCCCACTCTCTCTTCTCCTCCCCTGCCACCTCCCCCAACTAACACCCTACCTATTACATATCCTTTCTGCTATGGAAGGTGAGGCCTTCCATAGGGGGTCATCAGAGTCTGTCATACACTTTGGGATATGGCCTAGGCCCACCCCCGTATGTCTTGGCTCAGAGAGTATTCCTCTATGTGGATTTGGCTCCCAAGGTCCAATGCTAGGGATATCACTCCAGCTTTCTTGGTGAGAAGAACACTATGCGAGGCCACCAAGGTGTCTGTGTTCTTAGAACTTAGTATTTGAGTATGCACATGGGTTTCTTTATTTACAAATATTTTAAGCAGGTGCTAGGTTGACAAGCTTAGAAACAAAGCACGATAGAAAAATTTGTGCCAAGCCCTGACTATATAATGTGAGATTCCAAAAAGCCATTGCACTCAAATTATTATTGGGAAACGGTTTCAGATTTAAAGAAACAGACAAAACAGGCAGAAGGTGATCTTTCCGAGGTCTGGTTTACATTGAGTGTGAAAAGAAGATGGTGAAGA